ACTTGTTCTGAAGCACAGATTTCCACCATTTCAGGGCAAGTCTATTTAACTGTCGTCGGAGGTTTATCCTTTAACTTCGCGACGGCTCCTCTTTTCTTCGAGTTGGCGGTGGAGACGGCATACCCTTGTCCAGAGGTGGTTGTCGGGGGCCTGGTCACGGCGACCAATAATCTACTCGGTCTCTTCTTCCTCATGCTGTTCTTCATTCCTAATATAGGTATGGAGATGAGCTGAATTGGAGATTAAACAGTGAATGAGGTGTGTGTGTGTGTGTTTGTGTGTGTGTGTGTTTGTATGTGTGTTTGTGTGTGTGTGTGTGTGTGTGTTTGTGTGTGTGTGTGTGTGTGTGTGTGTGTGTGTGTGTGTGTTTGTGTGTGTGTTTGTGTGTGTGTTTGTGTGTGTGTGTGTGTGTGTGTGTGTGTGTGTGTGTGTGTGTGTGTGTGTGTGTGTGTGTGTGTGTGTGTGTGTGTGTGTTTGTATGTGTGTGTGGAAATATGAATATGAAAAAGAATACGACTATGTACTTTTAAACGTTTGTATACACTTCAGATATCTGAGTTATATACATAACATATCTGAGTCACATAATACAGAACTAGCATCATTGATGGTAATGCAGTGTGCTGAATTCAAAACAAGAAGTGTGGTTTTTACATTCCTTGCTGTGTAAACCTGAGAGTAATAATAGAAACATACCTTTCAGTTTCCCCTTATTGCAATTCCAATTATTAATCATCTCAAGTCCCACTCCAAACAACCACTCCAGAATTATATATTCTTCCTCTCTCCTACTCCCAGGGTACCAGTGGGTGACATACTTGCTACTTGCCTCTTCCTCGACGGCGATCCTGCCCTTGCTGTTCGTACGGGAGGACTACGCCAGGTCCAACATCGACCGAGGAGAGCCTGTCGAGTCGGCCTACCAGCCCATATGACAGAAGGCAAATATTGATCATAAGAAGAGGTTCCCCGAATCGATTAAGATAGAATGAGTGATTATGACCGGTGACCTTGGAGTTGTGGATTTGGTTGTTAGATTTCGGGATCGGTGATTTTTACTCCGTAATTTGGTTTCAGATTAGAGTTGTGAAGGATTTAGGAAAGGTGTTACTATTGTTTTTAATGTTTATTTTTAAAATAAGGTCTACCAGATATTTATGCTATTTTTTGAAATGAAAGTAATTTTATGGATATCTCTGTTATTTTATATAACTTATTTTAATTATATATATATCTTATTTTACTTATATATATATCTTATTTTACTTACATATGTATCTTATTTTACCTCTGATAAATTTGTGATAGAAAATACCTCATTGTGATATTTGTTAATACTGACTCATAAGAGATTATTTCTCACTGACGTTCTTGTGTTTAGATTAACCAACTTCTACTGTTTGTAGGAGGTATGTGATAAAAAGCATGAGGGGAGTGAATGCCTAAGGTATTTGGATATCTGTAGAAAGGTGTTTTGTAACTGGTATTTATCTTTAAATGTCAGATTTATCACTAGTCTTTTGAGTTCAGGTACAATTTCATGGAGGTGAGGTGTGTATGATCAGAAACTATGAAGAAAAACAGTCATAAGACTTGTTTCAAAGGGTGTTTGATGCTAAATGGAAGAATAAAATAGATTTGCTTCAGTAATAATTTTACACTTAGAGATTCAAAATTTGGTTTACTGAAACTGTTTAGTTTAGCACAGTGTATGTGGAGGGAAAATTGGGCTTCAAGTACATTTGTATAATGAACACTTGTGTGCTTTGCTAGTCTGTATGTCTGACCACCATACATGCTCATATATTTAGAATCAGACATATATGTCCAGTATCATATGATGTATATTGTCTGTTAGGACATTAGAAATATACTATATTTAAAGCAAAGTAATTTTAATTTTGTTGCTGAATTTTAGTCAGGTTGTGTAATTAAGCTAATGCTTTATTTTGAACTGTGGTTAGTGCTGCCAGTGGTAACACATATTACAAACACTTTAAGCATTCTTGTATTCTGGTCTGTGTCAAGCAAATCGTAGTTGGTTTCGTGGCATGTCTATGGAAAAGCATGTACACTAGACCACAGGATTAAATTGGAGCTTAGCCTGACATGAAACCAGGGCCTTCTATTCACAAAACTAACTTTCTACCTTTAAACTATGCCACGTCCCTTGGTAATGTAACTCATATATTTAGATAGGGTGATGGTATTCTTAGTTACAACGATTTATAAGACGTAGGTTTCGGCCAGTAGTTTTGTTATCAGTATTTCCAGAAGGGATATTATATATAAAATGACTGTCCCAAAGATTCTATTTTATAAGGCATAAAGATAATGTTATGTAGAATGAATACTGCACTTTTTATACAGTTAATATTTGAATTCTCAGATACTAGAATGTGAATGACTGTGGTAATGCAGTGAAGAATTCTCAAGGCAAAATGTTTTATTGATAGGATTGCTTGTAATTTAGTTAAATAAACTGTAATTGCTTTATAAA